AAAATCTCAGAGGACAAAGCAACCTGCAAAAAGCACATTTAATAGGCGCCTGTAGCAAAACATGAAATTTACTAAGAATAAGGCAGCAAAAGGGTGTTACTTGGCTTGTAAACTGCTCAAAGGTCTGGCCAACTAATTGGAAGATGAAGTTGATGGTCACGTTCAACCCTTATACATATAAAGCAGCTTGGATGTTTTGGTGTTCAGGCTAAACAAGTTTTGAACAAGTAGCCACAAACAGACCAATGAAATAGCAACAAAGCAATCTGTTTTTATTGAGAAGCACAACCCATAGCAGTGCATTTTATTCAGAAGTAAACTCCACTGAGTTAAATAGTTCTTACTGCACAGAACGGCCATGAAAAAAAAACAAAATGCTGAATCTTGCTTGAAAATATGTGCCAACTCATCTACGCTGACTGATAACTGTATTCAAATTATTGAAAAGTACAGTACCAAAGTAACAATGCCACAGAATCATTAGCACTGTATAATAAAAAGTTTTTAAAATCATTCAACAGTTCACAAAAGGCTCTTGGAAATATCAGAATGGTTGGTCTTGATAGGTCTTAACGAATTAGAGAGATGGGCCAAAACTAACAAAATTAAGTTCAATGGGGACAAATGCAAGATATTCCACTTAGACAGAAAAAATGAAATGCGAAGAGACAGAATGGGGGGGCTCCTGGCTCAACAGCAGTACATGTGAAAAAGATCTTGGAGTCCTTGTGAACAAGTTAACAATGTGATGCTGCAGTTAAAAAAAGCCAATGGGATTTTGGCCTGAATAAATAGGAGTATAGTGTTTAGATCCAGGGAAGCCATGCTACCCCTCTATTCTGCCTTGGTCAGACCACACCTGGAATACTGTGTCCAATTCTGGGCACCACAATTGAAAAGAGATGTTGACAAGCTGGAATGTGTCCAGAGGAGGGCTGGACTAAAATGATCAAGGGCCTGAAGAACAAGCCCTATGAGGAGCGGCTTGAAGAGCTGGGTATGTTTAGCCTGCAGAAGAGAAGATTGAGAGGAGACATGATAGCCATGTATAAATATGTGAGGGGAAGTCATAGGGAGGAGGGAGCAAGCTTGCTTTCTGCTGCCCTGGAGACTAGGATGTGGAACAATGGCTTCAAACTACAGGAAAGGAGATTCCACCTGAACATGAGAATGAACTTCCTAACTCTGAGAGCTGTTCAGCAGTGGAACTCTCTGCCCCAGAGTGTGGTGCAGACTCCTCCTTCAGAGGCTTTTAAACAGAGGCTAGATGGCCATCTGTTGGGGGTTCTTTGAACGTGATTGTCCTGCTTCTTGGCAGGGGTTGGACTGGATGGCCCATGAGGTCTCTTCCAACTCGATGATTCTAGGTGCACGATAATACCACCGTAACACTTTTTGAGTAGTTTCTGTGACCTTAGCTGATCTTAGTTAAATGGGTTTGTTCCAGATGGCATAGTGTTTTTCTGGGTTTAATGGTCTGCCAGTGTCTGCCTCCAAAATATGCTCAGGCCATCTGTGGCACTGACATATACTTCAATTAAAGGCAGCAGCAGCAACTAGGCCACGGAAAATGTGTCCATCCAGTGGAGTGGGTTTTGTGCTTGACTGCTACATCATCCCTCGTTACTGGTCTCACTGCATTGTAATCCAAACACATCTGGAAGGCCACACATCCCTCACGCAATTGCGGAAGGATTCACACTGTAAAAGCCTGCACAGTTAACGCAATACCAATATCTTGGTCCCGACATTGCTTCTAAGGAGAACTGGGTCAGAATGGCTTCAGGTGTTTGATATAAATTAGGAAACAGAGCCAACTGTATTTTTCTATCTTTTTAAACAAATGTCCACATTCATATGCCTTCCTTTGTAAGAACATGATTCTGGACTATACCTGCTCACAAAGAGACAATATTCAGTTCTGAATGTTCAAGATAAACGATGGAAAAGAATATGCGGCACACTAGGCTTCTGTTCCACGTTTACTATACATCCAACGCAAATCTAGAAATTGAACAAAAATGACATAAACCAGATTGGTAAGAGGCACCAACAGTCATTCTGATCAGAATCATTAACTAGTGATCATGGAAGACCAGATGGGTGCTTATTTATAGACACCTTGGTCAAGTCAAGAATGGAGAATGACTAACAATGCAATTTTAAGGGGACACAAAGATGGGAGATAGAAAACCAGGTATATGCATACAAATTACGTACTTCTGCTAAGATATGATACAACTCCTCAAGTGGATGGGATGGACTAGCAATTCCCCCCCTCAACATCCCAGGGACCGGTAGCACATTTGTGACATAGTGTTGATGTATTAGTAAAATATTCTGGACACTTGTCCTCAGTGGCTCATGAGCCAGTGCCAGTCCACAGATCACAATTCTGAATATATTGTAATACATTCAGTGATGTCAATTATTATTAATAACAGATTTTGAATGAATACTGAGGATATTTCATCAAAGGAACCTGTTTGGTACATTTCTGTAGAATGGCCTATCCAAGAAGATGAAGGAAAGTTTTAATTGTTATGATGGAACATTGCACACTTGAAGAGGCAACTGTAGTGATGGCTTATATTCTTCTTAGCCTGTGGTGAGAGAAGTATCCATCCCCCTGATCTCTCTACAAGATGAAAGTTGGTTGCTTCTTCAGAGTACAGTACAATACAAAGCAAAGTGCTGTTCTCCATAGACAGACCAAAATACCTGATGATACTTTTATGGATAGCTTACCTAGAATGATTACACAGTTGACAGAGACTGGAAGGAAGATAAAAATGGTTATACAGGGTCTGGCTTTCACTGGTACAAAAAACAGCCATTCTACTGCGATCATCACAGAACTGGGCTGAAAAATCCCAGTTTAACTGAACGGTTAATCATTAGCAGGTTCTTCACAGATTAAAGAATTTGAAAACTTTTTTTTTACTCTGACACTGGACACCTCTACATATAATATTGATCATAATGGTTGTAAACAGTCCTTACCAAATCAAAAGGCAAAAATATGTAAATAAGAGATTTCAAATAGATATATTCAGGACTACAATATTTTAATGTACAATTATTAATTCGCTAAGCTATCTTACCTTTAAATCAGATGATATCTGAGCTGCCGACAAAAAATTCAAACACAATAACGTGCAATACAAAATCAAATAAACCAGCAAAAACAGCTAAAAACAAATTACCGCGTATTTACAGATCAATGTTATAATATGAAAAATGACATTTCTGAGAGCAATGGTGGATCATAGAATCGTAAGAGTTGGAAGAAATCACAAGAATTGTCCAGTCCAAAACTCTTACCATGCAGGAATACACAATTAAACTACGCCTGACAAATGGCTATCCAGCCTGTTCAAACATCTCCAGGGAAGGAGGCTCCATTCTGAGGCAGTGTATTTCACTCTCGAGCAGCTCTTATCGTCAGGAAGTTTATTCTAATGTTTAGTTGGAATCTCCTTTCCTGTAGTTTGAAAGTCAAGGTAGTATAGAAGTCAACATTAAAAAAAACAGTACTGGGTTTAACCCAGGCCACATATCCTGTCTTGTTTGATCTAACCTTATCTTAGATCAACATAAAAGATGAGACAACCGAATGCAACAAACCTGGAGGGACAGCATAGCAATAAGTGAATAGAAGTATTCACTGACTGAGTTCTTTGTCAATTGCTCATGCATCAAAGAAAGAACTCACTCCTGAAAAACATATGGCTCCAGCTATCAAAACAAACCATAGTTTTGTGTGTATATATTTGTAAACTGTGGCTCAAAGAGGCTGAAAACAATACTTTGCCAGTAGTTTTCAAAGCATAGTTTGCACTGCTTTGCAATAATGTATACATCCAAAAATCACTGCCAAGCCACCAACAAAGGGTGCAGCATTAATGAAGCCAAAGGCGTAGATTGTCCTTCAGTTGATGAAAGATTATTTCATCCAGCAGAGACTTCTGTTAACAGAACAAGGATGAGGCAATTTCTCTTCATTTATCACTCCAATTCTAAAGTTCCCTCTCTAGGAACTGAAGGTGGCAACAGTGTCATCAAAATTCATTTTCTTCTCATTCCGCAGATGGAAAGGTTTTTTAAGTAGCAGCATTACCAAAAGGATGCAGCCCAATGAATATAAAAGAGTGTAAATTAATGAAAGCTATCTTTCTAATAAACTGCTAGACAGTATTCAAGCACAAAAAGCTAGAATCAAATATCTACAGAAGCCAACAAATCAACTTTCTATTACTGGGTTGCTGTGAGTTTTCCGGGCTGTATGGGCATGTTCCAGAAGCATTCTCTGTTGACATTTCGCCCACATCTATGGCAGGCATCCTCAGAGGTTTTAAGGTCAGAAAGCTATGAAGGTCAACAAAGAATGCTTCTGGAACATGCCCATACAGCCTGGAAAACTCACAGCAACCCATTTATTCCAGCCATGAAAGCCTTCGACAGCACAATTTTCTATTAGTTATGTGTAAGTTAACAGCTGTTAAGAAGAAATAGTATCCCAAAATACCTAGGCAAACTAATAGTTTTGCAAGGCTGCAATTCACAACAAGTGTGGCTATGTGTGATACATTATTTTTTATTTATTAATATTACTCTATGAAATGGGCCCAGTTAAGTCAGTCACCTCTGTTCTACTTCTTATGACTATTGAGCACTCTGTCCTCATTGAGACTGTTTTCTCCCAATATGTAAATTTATGCAAACATCTGGACAACCCTAGGAATGGAAACACCTCTCTTTTCTCACTAGCTCCATTGCTCAGACTTTGCCACCCAAATTTGAATTTAGTAACTGGAAAGAATGCATATATATATATGTACCAATTATTTTACTTGGTTTTATACTTAAATTGATTGTTTTTAAATTGTATTTTATGTCTTTGACACTGACTGTAAACTGCCCTGAGTCGCCTGTGGCCTGAGAGGGGCGATATATAAATGTAGTAAATAAATAAATAAATAAAACAACACATACAAAAATGCCTTGTATATTATTAGAAAATTTTAATAAATGACATGATAATTTTAACAACGAGTAAGACATGACAAAGAATCTGATTATGTAAGTTTCTTAACAGTCTTGGAAAGAATTTCAAGGAAGCTAACAATACTGCCTCCAATATATGCTTATATTGCTAAGAGCCTTTTATTAAAATCTAGTTCTCAACAATATTTCTTTCTGTATCTTCAAGACGGAGTTCATGTTCGACACAAACGTTTCTGCAGTATATATGAAACACAACGAATGTAAAAACAAACCCAAAATGATTCATGCATTTAAAGTAGAAGTCAGAAGCAAGCAGCTCTCCAAATATTGTTGACTGTAGCTTTTCTCAACATTGTTATTTAGGCCTTTTGAGACCCCAACATTTGCCTGCATGGCTTCTATTCTTGATTCAAATGCATTAATCATTTTGGGTTTATATTTGCCACTGATTCTGACACAGTGCATTTCAAAAAACACATGACTGAGCACACAACACCCATTTTAGATGTACATGTTTCAAAAAACAATGCCATCCTTTTACAAACTCAGTTTTCCTGAAGGTTTTCACAGTAACTAATAAACATACACAGCACAGAAAAACTAGGATACATGTATCAATAATGGTTGAGTATCTATTGGTCAAAATCTGGGCAAACTAAAGTCACAATTCTGGACATGACATTGAAAAGCTTTCCATCTTTCTGTCTTCAGAGCAGCCATCTTCTGAGCCACAATCGTTTTGTCCACACAAAATAAGCTGAGAGTCCTAATGGCCCAAGCTGCAAGCAGGACTAGAAGAGTACAAGGGCCTGGTCACTATTTTTTTTCACACACTTTGGACCACAGCAGACCACATCCACCCTTTGCAACAAAATCAGAAATGCCATTTTGGATGGACACTGCTATAGAGAATCACACAAACTTTGGTCTTCAAATGTTTTGCACTTCAAGAAAGCTCCAGTCACATTGGTCCACTACCAGGAATTCTTGGGAGATGAAGTCCAAAAAACAGAGCAGAGGCGAATTTGGGAACCACTGCTCTATAGGATTTTGGAACTGATTCCCCATTTCCATGCACCCGGAAAGCTATGAAGGTACAGCAACTACTGACTATTTAAGTAACATCAGGAACCACGTGGTTTTGTTAGCAGAGCCAAGCTGGATACCGTACATTGTCATTTTCACAAACACCTCTCATTTTCTAACCCAATCTCGAAGGTGGTGTAGGCTGGAATTATTTGTCATCACTTGATATCACACATCTGTAGCAGTAAATACTTGGCAACACTTACTTGACACGGATTAGAACAGCATCTTTATTTAGCACTGTGGAAATAATAACTGTTGTTTTATAAAATGTTACAACATTAGGGAGAAATGACATGATTGCTGCTTGCATACCTCAACTCGTATTCTATTAAAGAAAAAGTTGAGAGGAAAAAAAATCTTTGCTGTATTGTTAACAAAATAAATATAAGTGCTATTTTTAAAAAAACCACATACTATTGAGCATGTATGTACCTATCTGAAGGCCTAAACACTGAAGCAGAAAGTGACTGTGACATTTTTGTCATCCTTAACAAGGCACAGCAGCTTCTTCCTTTTCATTCATTCTCATATCTGCTGTATGGATGGTCAGAATCCGGAAGGAGACCTATGGAGGGAAATGCAAGACAATATTAAGACATTAAAAAGTATTCCTGTTGAGCTTTGTCAGTTTGATAGCTTGAGGCCTATGCAGTGAACCGGGGCTTCATTATCTCAAATGTTGACAAACTGTGGTATCGCAACACTATAAGGAGGCAACAGGACACGCTGTACCAAGCTGAAGAGGAGAGAGCTCAGATGAATCTCTTTACTGACAAAGCTCCCATTCAAAAGAGATGTCAAATGTAAAGTATTAATTAAATCTGGGAGCTTTCAAACCTTTCAAATTGACCCAATGGCTCAATCCATTCACTAACCATCAAAAAACCTAATCAAGGCCTACCACCCACTCACAGATACAAATAAGCATCATTATCCATATTGCAGTTTGATTGCTCACCAGTTAAATGAACAACTGAGATTGCCACCTCATAACAATTTGTGACATTACAGGGCAAACAGAACAATGGCAGGAGCAATGCATTTTAAAAAGAGAATCATAGCACAGCATAGGAAGTGACATTATGAGGGTAATGACAGTGCAAGAGAATGCCTAATCATATTTCTAAGGACTGGCAGTGTTTGCAAGTAATAGAATACAGGACCGGAGGAAGGAAGAACGTTCAACTAGTGGGCTATAAAGATAAGCTCTGTGAATAAACAAGACTTTGTTAATCAAATGTACAAGAGAATGTGACATTGTATGAAAGTGTTTAATCTCTCAAAATGTTTCCTACACAAGGAAAAAGCTTCCCAGGATTTATGTTCCTTGTTCCAGGAATCAGCAAAAACCAAAGTGACACATGCAAACAGTTAAATAACAATGGCAAAATCACTCGACAAACATTTCGTATTTATTTATGATGCCCAAATATGCCAAAAGTTAAATCTGGAGGTGATTGACACAATCTCTTGGGGACAATGATCACAGTTATCATATAAAACTCTGAGCTTAAAGCAACAGGCATCTTCAGCTAACTACACTTTTTTTTATATAATAATTTTTATTATGTTTTCATACATACATTAATACAGCGTAGAAAGAATAGAAAAAAAAACATAAAAGAAAAATAAAAGAAGAAGAAAAAGTAATAATAATAAAGGAAATAATAGTGAGAGAGGATGAATAAATACATTGGTTCCCTCCACCTCTACCCTTTTGTGTCTGTGGTCTGACTTCCCAACGTCCTCTGAGCGTATCGTGGAGAAGAGAGGAGTGTGGATTCCTCTGTTCTAATTTCCAATATTTGTATTTTTCTTCCTTCTTTTTACCAGCGTAGTCTCTGTCGAAAACCTTYTTTTTTTTATGTGCTGGACCAGTCTATCAATAATGGAAAACCTCTTTTTGTRATAAAGTCCTTGAGTCCTGACCAGTCAGTCTTTTTGTTTGATCCTTTTAATCTTTGGGATAGTTCTTCCATTTGGATAATATCAAATAGTTTAAGAATCCAATCTTCTATACTGGGTATCTCCTTCCGTTTCCAGGACTTGGCCAATATTATCCTCGCTGCCATGCTCAATAGAAACAGGATTTTGTCCTGATTTTCGTCTAGTTTCTGTGAGGTTATGCCAAGTAGATATGTTTCTGGATTTTGGGGTAAGCTAATTTTGAGTATTTTTAGTGCTGCCTGGTGAATACTTTTCCAGTATTTCTTAATTTTTTTGCAGGACCACCAAAGGTGGAAAAAAGTTCCCTTCTCTTGGCCACACTTCCAACAACTGCTAGATAGCTTTCTGTCAATTTTTGCCAATTTGTCTGGTGTTAGGTACCATCGGAAGAACATTTTGTACCAGTTCTCCCGCAAATCGGTGGCTACTGTGAATTTTAACTTGACATTCCAAACTTTTTCCCACTGGTGTATTAATATGGTTTTTTTTAAGTCCCTAGCCCATTTGATTTGGCACTCTTTTATTTGTTCTTCTTCTGTGTACCAGCACAGTAGTTGTTGATATAAAATCTTTATCAGCTTTTTATTCCGTGACAGGACTAGATCCCATGTGCTTTTATCCTGACTGAAGCCACTCTTCGCGTCCTCTTTATATCCTTGGTAAATTTGGTAATATTGTAGCCAAGTAATTTTAGTTGTTATTTGTTTTATTTCTTCTATAGATTTAATATCTAATTTCCCGTCTTGATCTTTTAAAATTTGTTGGTAAGTTAACCATTTTTCTTCTCCTAGTTCTCTTTTGTGTCTTGCCTCCATGGGGGATATCCATAACGGGGTTCTTTTGCAGAGTCTTAGTTTATATTTCTCCCACGTTTTTATTAGTGAGGCCCTAATGAAATGATTATTAAAAAAATTTTCTACCTTTCTTTTATTATACCACATATACCCATGCCAGCCGAACCTTAAGTCGTGGCCTTCTAAATTTAGTAATTTGATATTTCTTAACAATGCACATTCTTTAATTGCGACCAAATTACAAGCTTCATAATATGCCTTGAAATTGGGTAGGCCTAACCTCTTTTCTTATAGTCAGATAGAATTTTTAGGCTAATTCTTGGCTTGCCATTTTTCCAAATAAATTTAATTATATCCGAATTCCACTTTTTAAAAAGAAAGTCATTCCTAATAATTGGTAACGTTTGAAAAAGAAAAAGAAGCTGTGGAAGTATTGTCATCTTTATTATTGCGATCCTTCCTAGGAGTGAAATATTCAGATATTTCCACCCCTCCAGGTCTTTCTGTATTTTTTTCCATAGGGCCTCGTAATTATTTTTTATTAATTTAGAGTTCTTTTGTGTAAGGATCACTCCTAAGTATTTTATTTTTTTCTCTATATTTATTCCTGAAACTTCGTGAAGCAGGTGCTTAGATTTAGTGTCCATATTTTTAACTAGTAATTTGGTTTTTTGTTTGTTTAATTTAAAGCCTGCCAATTCGCCGAATTCTTCAATCTTATCTAACCACATTCTAATACTGTCTAATGGGGTTTCTATGATGCATACAACATCATCCGCGTATACTCGAATCTTATAATGTTTCTTTAGTATTTTCATTCCCTTGAGGTTTAGATCTTTATTTATATTTTTGATTAGGATATCTATTATCAGGATAAATAAGAGCGGAGATAGGGGGCACCCTTGACGGGTGCCCTGTGTGATTTGGATTGGTTCTGTCGCTTCCTGGCCATTAATGATTAAGGTTGCCTCTTGTTGAAACTACACTTGATTATATAAGCATGTCCTATCATGTGGGATGGGTTTTGATAAGCAAGGTAACACACAAATCTGCAAACTCTGTTGCAACAAATTAACAAACATGTTGCTACTTCCCGCTTGTAGGTACTTACACTTGACTTCCTCAATAAATGACTGGAGGAATTAAAAGCACATAATCACAGAGAGTTTCTAATGCATGGCTATAAGCAAACCCAAAAATCAGACTCTATTTCTATTTTTTCAGCGATGTTATTTATACATGGTTCAGAACAACCTAGCTGGGAGAGCCAAAGAGATCAACTAGTTTAAATCACACCCTTGCTCCATGAATCAAACTATATAAATTTGATAATGTGAAGGCCAGCAAGGTTAGGGGGAGGGAATACTTGATAGTCTGAGCAAACAAAGCTTTATGCTGCAGAAATGGTGACACCCTTTCCCAAAAGACAGAGATTACATCCAAGCTTATTTGGACTGTCTTGCGTTGATGTCGTGCCAGAAACCTAAAATTATACAATCCAGTCTCTTAGTAGGAGAAGGGAACAGATTTTTTTGTTGTGTACTTGAGGGAAGTGCTCATTTGTGAAAACAAAATCTACTCCCAGTTTGACAAGTACTCTCTTCCAAAGAAGACTAGAATTCTTCAGACAATAATCAAAACCTTTCACAGAAAGGAGATGAAGGCCACAATTTGGAAACTTGGAAAGTGATACTAATTGCTGTACAATGTCTAAGTACTCCTATTGAATCAATGACTGCTGCTGAACCTTGCTCCTCATTATTATAGCATTTCAAGACCTCTTCCTGCTCCCCTGTGAGCAGCTTGCTTGGGGCTTAGTGGAACCCAAATGATTCCCTGCAGGATAGGTGATTTACAATCCAAACTGTGTGGTCTAATGAGCACACAGCCTACACAGAATTCTTAATAGGATACTGCAGGAGTCTGCCACTGTTTGTATTCCTCCTACTCAATGAAAATGAACAGGGAAACTAGTGCTCCTTTTCAAGTAGACAGTACACTGGAAGAAGAATGCCTGTGTGTACTTCTCAGAGCATGATACCAGAGGTTTGGCTGTGCATAATACTGGGAACAACTTTAACTACCATTGATTTATTTCAATAATTACAGTAGCAGATCCAGAAGAAAAGAAGAAGGCACAGTTGGGATTAGTTGGCACTTTTATATGCTAATAGAAGCTTCAGGCATTTGAATTGGTAAGGGAATAAGAAGGCAGCTACCCAATATAGCAGGGATCTGTACCTAGATAATGCTTGCACACATGTGAATGACCTGCTCAAGTCAGGGAGCAATAGCAACAAGTTACAGCTGCTGACCTGGAATACAATATCTTTCAAAACAGAATCTTAAGCGAGGCAGGCTGGGGTTCTGCACTGGCTTAATATTGGCTTATTTCCTAGTGCAATTTAGATGCTGATGTTAACCTTCAAAGATCTATGTTAACCTGTGACTGCAAGGTTAAATGACAGTAAGCTCCTACTGAATGTGAAGGAATCTTCTTCAAGTACTCCTGTTAGATGAGTGACATCTGGACAAAAGGTCATCTTCTGGTTGTGACCTATCTATAGTAAGCATTGCACAGAGAGAACTGCTTGGCACTAGATTGGAAGTCTTTTCTGTGTTGGGAGAAAATATTTTTGTTTGCCCAAACCTTAAATGGTTTTTTTTACATCTACTTACATTTTGATGACACACTTTTATAATTTTAAATTCAATTTCTAAATAACAATTAGATGGCATAATAGTAAGATTATACTACAGACATAATGTCAACATAGTAATAATACTAACTTCGATGATTTCCAGTAGTTTGAAATTTTGAGAGCTGTTTGTTGGAATGAAGGTGACCTTCTGATTGAAAAGCTCATGCTTTGGTGAGCCTTTGTTGCTTAATATGTGAAAAGTGTGGTGTATGCATACAACCAAAAAGAAACAACTCAATAAAATTCATTCAGTGTTTCCCTACCCTTGCTGAATTTGTACAAGGGCATCTCTGAACACTACTAACTTTTAATATTCTTTTAATATATCAACCAAAAGACACAAAAATCTCTGCACAAACTTTTGAAAGCATAATTTGTCATCGAGAAAATGTTTTTTTACAATGTGTGCAGGAAAAAAGGGATATATGTAATGATAGTAAAGGTCACATAAGCTGCATATGGTAGACTATGAATTTAAAGTGATCAGGTAAGTTGGTTACAGGCAATGATTACAAAACACAGCCCACATAACGCCTTACGCATTGCTGAGAAACACAATAACCTCTGTCTCTGCCACCTTGTAATGGTGACTGAATTGGAGGGTGTGATGTTACACAGAAGAGAAGAAGTCACACTTTTCAGCCCAAAAGAGAAACCAATATGATTCCCTACTGAAATCTAAGGAACTGTACTGTAGTTTCACTTCAAAAGGGGACGAGGAGACAAACCCAGATTTAGTTGGCTCTGTCTGTCTGCCACTGTGAACCACCAGCCCTGATGGGAACAATCCCCCACTGAGACTGTAATCTCCCCTCTTCTCATCCCATAACATGAAAGGGTTTCCCAAGTCTAAACAAAGGAGCAGGATAAAATGCTGATGCATTTTTTCTCATTATGCATAAAATCACAGGCAACATACAACAATTGAATCTATTAACATTGGAAGTTACTATAGTAGAACATAAACTAAAAGGGTTTCAAACTAATTTAGCCAAGAACATATAATTTGAGCAATCAAATTGTATTCATCCAAGAACACGAGAAAAAAGTGGCAGATCTCGCAACAAAGAAACCATTCAAACCAAGTATTCCTACTTATTAAAGCTCTATTGCTTTCAATGCTCCCGAAGGACTGCGGCTAGAATGAGTGGCACCTGCAATGCATTATAAATGTATAATTACCATTTAAATGGGACAAGAAAAGCTGAAGGGTGAAGTGGGAAGAAGGCATTCCTTAAATCCAAACAAGGCTGACATTTCAGATGTGATTATTTTAATTTAGCAATGGGTTAACAATTCATTTGCCATTCTGTCATTCATCCTTGCCTATTTAAGAGAGAAACTGCTCTGGAAACCACTCTGGAAAATACTGAAGACAGGAAAATCTAATGCCTTCACATTTTTCTGCTGTATTTTTCAACAGATCAGTATTGCATGCGATTTACAATGATGTATCAACTGGACAGATATTAAACTGTGGAGCACTGTTCAGGAAAGAGCAGAAGGAATACTGACTTTGGTCTTCTATTTAATTACTTGGGAGAATTAGTAGTACTTAATCTATTTCACATTAACTTTGACAAAAGATCCCAATTAAATGCTTATTGTTCAAAGTTTGAAAAGGAGTCACTTCAAGTTATAATCCAAGTGGGGTATATTCTGTGATTATACTGCAGAAGCACAGAAGTATTGGGAATGTAATTTAGCCAGCTGCCAAGATCAGCTTGCATTAAAATAAATGAAAAATGCCATCCTTATGATAGTCAAAGGTGGACTCTAAGATGAAATCAGAAGCTAGAAAGGAGGGTGAAACCGGACTGCAATGGACCTTAGATGAATGAGGCAGAATGAGTAAAATACACAAACTTTTGAAAACTGGGAGCTTTAAACATTTTACCAATATATACAGGGTAGAATAATTTTAATGCCCATTTGAAATCATGAGTACAGGACTTCCTTCTTTAACCAAACAGAAGGTAAACATGGCTATGTCTGTAACAATTTGGCCTTTGACATAGTATTTTTCTCTTTTAAGATAAGAAGCAGCCCAGGGCAGAAAAGCAGCTGGACATGCAGATTTAAAATGCTTAAGCATTGGCTGCATTGTCCCTTCAGTGTTTTGTCCACCATGTAATTCGCATACTTAGGCAAACTGTTGGCTTTTAGATCAAAATAAAATATTTCCATGGCATTAAAGCTTGGAGTTTACCTCACAATGTTATTGGACTTCTGGGTATTTCTCTAGATTCTAAGCAGCCAAATTTTCAATGAGGATTTTGAATGAATGGGGTGGAGAGGGAGAAACATGACAAAGACATTTCACATTTAAATAAGATATACTTTTCATATATTTTATTATGTGCATAACAATAGAGCACATTCTTTTAGTGTGTTATGGCACAAAGCTCGAGATGTCTCTCCCCCCCCCCCCCCCCCCCCACATAAATTGATATAAAATATTTCCTAGCACTGGGGAGCTGGTATAGTGCAGCCAGTGGTCTGACTATGGTTCTAAAACTGGAATGCTTTGCTGCTATTTATCTTGGCAGGGTGAGTAGGCTAATATGTGGAGAGATTTCTCTAAATGTTACCACATGCATTTATTGCAATCCTTGTCTCCAGGACATATAAGCTATTAAGGGCTCAAAAATAACAATTCTGTCCTACTTTCCATTTTCTTACTCAGTCCTACCAATGGACATATTCAACATTCAGTAAGATTTAAACATGACACACAATCATGTAGTGCTGAAAGGTCTACAAACATGCTAAGGGATAAACCTATTCACTGGATATAAAGAGAGGGTAATAATAATAATAAAAAACTTTATTTGTACCCCGCTACCATCTCTCCAAGGGACTCGGTATGGCTTACATGAGGCCAAGCCCAGAATACATCAATAAACAAAACATCAATAAAACAATTAATATACAAATCATATAAATCACATGAACAAAAATAAGCAATAAACAATCAACAGTGACATATGAACATTTAAAACCAATGGCCGGGCCAAATGTAATAGGTTAAAATTAAAAATAATGCTGACGTGAACAAGTTAGGATATAACTGGGATAGAGTTTTCAGAGATATATGTGGGAATGCAGTCAATCCTAAATCAGTGGTAAAGTGCATTTTGAGGGCATATTGCTGAGAGGGTAGGTATAATGCTTAACACATAAGCCTCAAATGTTCAGCAAAATCCTACAGTAGTGTCCATATGTGCACATATTTGTGTGCATATGTATCTATATGTGGAGATATCTCCAAGGAACGACAACTTTAGCATAGTGTTAAAGCTGCTTCAACCACACAGTGTCACACATTATATTGTAAAAAGGCAGTAGCATAGAAAAATGATAATTAACAGGTACTTGAAACCTACTTTTTCTTTCCTGTATTTTCTTACAGCTCTTATTAAAATTGGTTTCTTGGGATAAATGTCAAAAAGAAAAGTGTTAGATGCAAAGTATTAAATTACACATACCATATTTCTTGCGTATCTCGTCATGCTTCACTTTCCTTTCATGTTTCCTGCAAATATTATGAACGTATAAATAAAATGTATGCACACGGTTAAATAAAATACAATAAATCAGTACAGAGAATGTCTGGATGCCTGTTTCAATGTAAAATATCCATTGTCATCTCTATGCCTCAAGATAACAAAAATGCCTTTTCTTTTATTTTCTTGCCTATTTTTTCCATTTCTATTTCCCTGACCCTCATTCAAAAATAACTTCAAATTTAAAAAATCATAGGTTACATTATTAAGTGTTGGAAGTAATTGTTTAAAACTACCAAAATAATAAAATGACCTTTTTGTCATAACAGGCATTTCTTGAAACATTGACTATTAAATGCAGAAAAACATCTACACCAAAATTACTCTAAAATAGAAAATTCAATAAATACTGTTTTTGAACAAAGGGATATTCCTCTATTAAAAGTTAACCCTACAAAGAAGCAAATTTCATGGAATACTGCTTTCGAAGTTGTTTAACTAAAGCCATATTATAAACTAAAGTTTTACTGTTTACAAATATCAGCCAAGCAACTTTTTCAAAATCTTTGGAATATTTGTGCAAGATGGCATTATATTCTGTGGCTTTTCTACTCTAGCTACTAGAAATGTGCACTGCCTCCCTACAGAAGAATCTCAAAGAAAAAAAAATCTTAATCACAATTTGCTTGATTTCCCCAGTCATTTGACCAATTCCACTGACTTTCCCCGAGCAATTTATGTTTTATTGACTTTCCAGAGTGGCAATCCTGAATAAATTCTTAATATCCACAGATATTAGCAGTGGGCTACACTACCATAACATGAGTTGCAAACGATCTCTCATACAGCAGTCATGCCATAAAGGGCATGAAAAAAAAAGGTCTTCCACCGAAGGAAAGGACATGGGATAGGTTCTAGCTGAAGGCTCTCCTTCCCCTGCAGGAGAGGAGGGCCAATGAAGGCAGTGGAGGGGTGAGAGAGACAGCCCACTCTCTAGGAGGAAGAAGAGGCCAGGAAGATGAGGGTGTTGGGTCACGTGGTAGGCCCCGATGGGAGGCAGATGAGCTGGGGGCTCACCTAGATGATGCTGGCCAATGAGGAGGTGGCATTGAGGGGAGGCTATCTGCCAGAGGAGGCCCAGCTCCCGATGCCTCCTCTGGGCTCGGTCCCGCTGGTCATCCTCCAGCACTTGCCCACACCCAGTGCCACCTCTCCCTCGGTCAGCACTGGCAAAGTTCCCATGGGGCCTGTCACACCACCCTGCACCCTCTCCCTCCGCAAACACTGGCCTTCTCACCTTCCCTCCACAAACTCCCTCCATGGGCTGAACCCGCTTCGGCCTCTTTGGGTTTTTTTCCCTAGCCCCCACCCCCCAAGGTAGCCTTCTGCCCTTAAAGGTCCCAGGTCCTATCTGATCTGGGAAGCTAACTAGGGTCAGCCCCGGTTGGAAAACCACCAATCAATTGCAGGGGTTTAGGGTTGCAGTTTGGGCACTTGGTCTCCAAAAGATTCACTATCACTTCCATACAGCACTGTGATTCTCATATATGCATTGTTACACAGACCTCTATTCAAAGGTGCCCCCCCACCCCCAATCAATCCATGAGGGAGGGGAAAGTTCCAGTAAATGAGCTATATATATTGAATGAATGAATTTTTATTTTAGCATACATAATAGGTTATAAGATGAAAGCCATTTTTCAAGGTAAGAAGAAATAACTTCTTGGTTCTGGCATTACATGGGAGATTGAACAGGCTTCTGTAGGTAGGCAGATACTATATTAGCTCAGACAGCAGAAGATTTGAGAGATTTTTTTCCCCTAGCCTCAGGTTACTCACATACACAAAACTCCCAGACTGATCGTCTGAGTAGCTGAAGTTGAAAGGACTGAGAGATCTACTGCTATTCAATAGCCCCAAGCCAGCAATAAATTTAGCATGACAGCAGGACATGAACTAAATGGCAAGAGATCCATGTTTTTGACTCAGAACATGGTATTAGTATTTGTACTGTTCTTACTAGGTTCACTAAATGCATTTATTAATTAAAATATTTACATTTGCCTTACACAATGGGATCTCAAAGCAGTGTACAATGAAATTAACTTACCCTACTCAAAGCAGTACACAAATAATTTAAATACACAAAGAACACATTAAACATTCTAGCAATGTAAAACAAGACAGTTTAAAACCAGTGAGGAGAATTTAAAGCTATGCATATATGCCAATTTGGATGAAATCAATTAGATTCTCATGTGCTCAGTAAAGACCCATATTTTCTCTTGGCAATTGAATGGAACCACAGTTGGTGCCAACCGGGTCTCTAAGGGCATGGTTTTCCACAACAGATATTCCAGAGCAGTGAAGGCCATAGTGAATTCCCCCAGAGGTGGAAAACAGACTATTTGTGGGAGTTGGTTATCCTCAACTAATCTTTAGATTACATTCTTTCATTTAAATTCCAGAAGCATTTCTTGAAGATAAACATAGCAAAAAACAGCAGTTTTCAAATAGAGAGTTCTAACCCAGCCACGATTATTTTCAAGTATAAAGATTCCACAAAGCAATGATGGGATCTAAATTGCAAGTGTTGTTGTTTTATTTTAGGATTGGGGGAATGGGAAAACAAGCCATCCCTATCACTCCTTTGGATCTCTGGTAGGCACATGTAGTCATGTGAATCATGTTAGATCTGATATTCAAGGGGAAAAAAACAATCTTTACAAGATACCAGCTGAGTAAAGGTTGACAACCTATAGCATAATCTGCTATAATTCCAGGGTAGGGGTATAGAAAATAACCTCAAATCTCTTTAGATGCTTTCTGATGAACTTTTTCTACTCAGAAAAAAGAGCAAGGAGAAGGCCTGAATTACCTCTCCTGTGTAATTGAGCACTAACTGGTGACTTTAAAGATTTTTAAAACCTATATCACTTTGTCCAGCCCTTTGAAAATTTAGGGAAAGGGATGATTTGCATTTTTCTGGATCCTATTACATTCCGCTTCATTCCCACAATATGAATATGGTTTTTATCTGAGGCTTTAATATAATTCTGTACTATTTATTTATAGTATCAGGAGCAAACCAAGGGTACAGTTGTAATGTATTTTTAAAAAAATCACAAAGTTTAGAAGTCTGGAATTATATTAAATGTCCTTTGACATTTAATCATTCTGTAATGCATCTGAGGAACTAGCCTTATATCCACAAAATTATGATGAAATAAAAACGAATTAAGTCTTAAAGATACTGCCACATTCCTTGTTTTGTGTCCATCTCTTCCTCCTTTTTATGGTGCAAGAGACACGTCTCTGAAAGCTAGCTAAAACAGAGACTGAAAAACTGTATGGCTCACATTTACAGTAATCCTGCAGGAAATAGTACTTCTCTAAGCAAAATACCTAATATAGGCAAAAAAAATTACACTAAGACAATTAAAGCTTCTAAACATACCGTTGAAGGGACTGCATTCTTTTTTCTTCCCGATCTCTGATAAATCTTTCTTCTTCTTCAGATATTTCCCTAAAAAAGAGCAAATATCACTTTTATGGTGTATAAAACTCTGTGCCAGAAATTATCTTTTGAAGTGACTTTACATTTTGCCAGCTTAGATTCACTAAAAAATTATTTTATCAGAACATGTTATCTGTATACACTCAAATTTGTAACACTGTCCCATTAACTTTCTCTAAGCTAAACAGAAGTGTACTTTATAAGGACTTTCAGTTCTTATACCCAACATTTGTTTGAATCCTATGTTATTCTAAAGTCTTCATTAGTCCTTCCACTACACATATATTATAGAACAGTATGTTAGTAGAAAGTCGGTATGTTATCCCTTCTTCATAAACAATCCATCTTCTTTCCTTTTTCTTCTTAACATATGACAACAGCAGGCAATTCTCTTACCACGGATAAAGAAACATTGGCCTGTTGGCTATACTACAAAAGTATAAAACTATGGTATCAGCATAAAGTAGTCTTCCACAAGCTAGAGTTCACCTAACTATTAATATCACAGGAACTAATGAGAGTCGGAATCCAAAACATATGGATGACATCACATTTCAGAAGACTTTTGTCTTAACATGGGGTTTCTAAGACTAGGTTGTTGTTATTACACACTACCAAATCACCTTCAAATCAATATAAATGAAGTCTCCCCAAAAGATCCTGCTCAGATCTTGCAAATTCAGAACTGTAGTTTTTTTAAAAATCTGAACCAATGTTCAAGTAAACCAATCTTTATCTTCGTACTGTTTTCAACTTTTCCCAGCATTATCGTATTTTCAGTTACCAATCTCTACAATATTGTATTTCTTCAATTCTAAGTCACACTTTTTTCCTATACAGACATATCTAAAAACAGGGTGTGTCTTAGAACCACATGTATATCTTATGTGTTTTTGCTCTTGGTGGTGGTACTGAAATTAGGGCGTGCAATCGATGGCATCTCACAGTTAAAGTAATATGGCCATCAAATTTGCATTACAAAAACCTTCACTACCACAAGAACAGTTTTCCATCATGACCTTGTGTTGGCAAATAGTAACACAAGGAGACCTGAGACAGGGATGCATATTGAATGAATGAACTAGCATTTACTGTGCTAGTTAAGACTACAGAAAAATAGAACCCAAAGGTATGAGATCAATATTTTGTCCTTCCTTACCCTGTGGAAAGCAATGTGATTTCTTCCTATCTTACTTTGAAAAGTCTCTACAATAATCTACTATGTACAAAGGTAAGCAGGAAAATCTACTTTTCAAATTTTCATGCAATCCATTGGCCCTTTAATTACAAATCCCAAACAAAGTATTCAAAGGTGCCACACACTCCTCAAGCTGCAATTATCATAAGTCAAAGACTGAGGCCAAAGCAGAAAATTCATGAATATGATGGATGATGTGAGAACAAAAGCAGAAGTAAGGAATACTTAAAATCCAATAAAGGAGAGAATATTTCCTTTCATGCTATTCAGATGGTGGATGAAAAAGTACAGAGGGGAAGATGTTAAGGTATGCCTAGACAAATGTGATGGAGAAAGAGAACAAGTGGACTGCTTAGATCCAACATTTTCCAAATGTGGTTTTGAACAGAATGAATCCATATATGAAAGTCAAAGAATTCAAAAAATAGAATATAATAACTTTATTGTTATTGTAGAATGAAATTAAATGCTTTCCCTATCACATATCACAAAAACAACACACCCATCCCTTCATGCTCCAAACACCACCACACAGCTCCCAATGCCACATCAATGCAAAACCATGGAGTATGATATAGTTACAGCTCTGGGGGGGAGGGGACGGACGGACGGACGGACTATCTCTTAGTCTGTTTCTCCTTGCCTTTGTCACCTTATACCATCTGCCAGGTGGCAATAATTCAAAAAAAGAATATGCTGGGTCAGATGGATCCTTAAGAATGTTCTGAGTTTTCTTAAGGCTGAGGAACTTAGCCTTAAGTTCCTCAGGGACAACCAATGATTCTGTGCAGTAGTGGTGACCTTTTGGAGCGCCTTCCTATCTGCCACTGTGCAGTTACCAAACCATGTGAAGATACTGTAGGTTAGGACACTCTCTATAGCACGTGGTAGAAAGCTACCAGCAATTTTTCATTCAGTCATTAGTAACTTAGATTTGTCAGATAGTACAATCTCTGCTCGACTTTCTTAACCAACGCTGCCATGTGAGTGCCCCAGGTCAAATCCTCCTTACCAGTGACATCCAGGACTTAAAACTGGCCAATCGCTGCACTTATGACCAAGGAGTTCTGGTCTGTTCTTTCTATAGTCTACTATGAGCTCCTTGGTCTTCTTGATGATAAGAACCAGATTATTATCCCTGCACCACAAGAGCAGCCGATCCACCCCATCCCAATAGGCAGACTCATCCCCTTCAAAAATAAGCCCCATGGATGTGTTGAAGGACAAATCTAAAGGGAACAATAAGACAAAGCAAAGGCTGTCGGGGGGTCTACCTGAGAAATTTAAGGAATTAAAAGAAGATCTAGGCCTACAAGATATATGGAGACTCCAACATGGAAATGAAAAGGACTTTACCTTTTTCTCAAGTAGACACAAAACATGGACGCGCATAGACATGATCTGGGGAACAAAAACGATATTAAACAAAGTCACTAAATCCAAAATATTACCAATGATAAACTCGGATCATGCCCCATTGCTAATAACAATACAGGAAGAACAGGGTGGACGAAGGATATTCAGGTGGAGACTTAATGATAATGATCCCAACACAGATGGGACACAGTTCAAAAACTATAGACCAATATCGTTGACCAATGCAGATTATAAGATATTTTCTAGTATATTGGCCAGCAGATTAAAAGACCTATTAATGATGAGAATAGAAGAAGATCAAGTGGGCTTTCTTCCAAAACGCCAATTAAAAGATAACATAAGAATTATAATGAATGTCAATGAATACTATGAGAAAAACAACCACAAAGAAGTCGCCTTAATGTTCCTAGACGCCGAAAAGGCGTTCAATAGGGTAAACTGGAACTTCATTAAGGCGACATTAAGAGAAATGGACATAGGCTATTATTACATGAACGCAATAAATTCAATATACTCAAATCAGACAGCCAAGATTGCAATAAACAGCCAAATTTCCAAAAACATACCTATACAGAAAGGAACTAGACAGGGATGTCCATTATCCCCGTTACTGTTCATCTTAGCCCTAGAAATACTATTAATGAACAAGGAAAAACAAGGATTTAACAGGCTTAAAAATAAAAAAAATTCATATAAAATCCGCGCATATGCGGACGATATAGTCTGCATTGTAGAAGATCCTATATCTAAGATGAACAAGTGGTTAGTAGAAATTGAAAAATTCGGAGAGGTGGCGGGATTCAAAATAAATAGAGATAAGACACACATTATTACAAAGAACATGAACAAGAAAAAACAGGAAGAACTACAGAACAAAGTAGGAATTAAAGTGGTTGATAAGACAAAATATCTGAGAATAATATTTACGGCCAAGAATACGCAATTAGTAAAGAACAATTATGAAAAAAGTGGGCGGAAATTAAAATAAAGATGAAGAAGTGGGAACATCTGAACTTATCCCTGTTGGGAAGAATATCTGTAGTAAAGATGAATATACTGCCGGAAGTTTTGTTTCTATTTCAAACCCTCCCAATACTGAAGTCTAAAACAATGATTAAAAAGTGGCATAGGGAGATAGGGAAATTCATATGGCAGGGAAAAAAACACAGGATAAGCTTCAGAAATCTAACAGACGATAGAAAAAGAAGGGGGCTTGCTTTACCTAATTTCCAATTATACTATGAGGCGGCTGCCCTGGACTGGATAAGGGAATGGACAACTTTGGAGAAAAAAAAACTACTAACCCTGGAAGGGTTTGACCTAGTCCAGGGTTGGCACGGGTATCTCTGGAGGGGAAAAGCAGAAAAGGAGATAAATTTCAGGAACCACTCTATAAGAACCGGGCTCATTCAAGTGTGGGTTAGATATAAGGAAAGATTATATACAAAGACGCCGCTATGGTTCTCGCCCAATGAAGCTAACCACCTAAAAGAACTACCCCGAGAAAAATGGCTAATATATAAGCAACTGATAAAAATAAACACACAAGGAGTAACGCTCAAATCACAGGAGGAATTAAGACTACTGGATCCAACGCTCTCATGGTTTCATTATTTCCAAATTAGAGAGAATTTTAATATAGATAAAAAAGTGGGCTTTGAAATAAAAGATGGATTCTGGGATAAGGTGATAAAGGTGGACACAAAGATAATAAGCAGAATTTATAAACAACTACTAATATGGAACACAGAAACGGAACAGGTAAAAGAAAACATGGTGCAATGGGCTAGAGATGTAAATAGATCAATATCCATGACAGAGTGGGAAGGAATATGGCTGAAGAAACTGAAATATTCATACGCAGTAGAAATGAAGGAAAACTGGTACAAGCTATTTTATAGATGGTACTTGACACCAGAAATACTAGCAAAAATCAGTAAGGGAAAATTAAGAGAAAAATGTTGAAAGTGTGAGAAGAAGACCGGTAATTTCATCCACATGTGGTGGAAATGTAAAAGGGTTAAAGAATTTTGGCATCAAATAGGGAAGCAAATAGAGACAATTTTACAGATAAAAATTGACCTAAAACCTGAGGCTTTCCTATTGGGAATAACAGTAAAATGGATAAGAATACAGATAAGCTTTTTTTCTACATGACAACAGTGGCAAGGATTGTCTTAGCCAGAGTATGGAAAACAAGAGAAGTACCCACAAAGGAACAATGAAACTTAAAAGTTCTGGATATATTAAACATGGACAGACTCACCCAAAGAATTGCACCAAATGACAAGGCTTGTCAAAAGACAGATTGGACAAAATTTATAGACTATATTAAAAAGGAGATCTATATTAGTGAATTATAGGAAAATCTCAAAGGTAGCATCAAGGAGAAAACGGAGATGGAAAAACAAAGAAATATACAATGACTAGATCA